TGTGTGAGTGTGTGTGTGAGTGTGTGTGTGTGTATGTGTGTGTGTGTGTGTGTTTGTGTTAGTATGTATGTATGTGTATATGTGTGTGCGTGTGTGTGCGTGTGTGTGTGTGTGTGTGTGTGTGTATGTGTGTGTATGTGTGTGCATGTGTGTATGTGTGTTTTTGTGGGTGCGCACGCGCAAGCGTGCGTGTGTATAAATGTATCAATGTGTTTGTGTGCATGTGTTATATCAAATAACCGCCTTTTATCAAACTGAACTGTGGTCATCCACACGCCCAACATAACGTCATCAAACTGACTTGTGAAGGAGCCCTCAGAGGAGGGTCCGCCATATGTCCCATGGCCTTGAAAGCGATTGGGTGTGCGCCGATGTAGAGAGTTTTCCCGTCCTGGCTCAGGTGTAGATTATCCAAGGACGAGTGAAATGACACGACCTGGACAAGAGCCAGGGAGTTGTCCTTTTCCCGCTTGTACACATGGACTTGTTGTTCCACCATCACGTTCACGTACAGATATCTGCATGTGGAAGGTTCAGCAATTACAGAATTATAGTGATTGTATCTGCTAATGCATACAGATTAAGTCATTGTATTTAGATGATAATTATGACATTGCGTTTTTTGTGGAGAAAGAGATGAATTTTATCTTCAAATTATATTTATTAGATATGAATATGGGGTTTCGAGTGTAGAACGAGAGAAAGTGTTTAGCAATTACAGCGGATGGATTTTCAAATGCCTTCAGATAAAATGATATTTAAATATTCTAATGCATTCAGGTAACATGATATTTAAGTATAACAATGGGGTATTGCGTGGAGAAAAAGAGGTTGGGAAAGGGGGGAGTGGGTGAGTCTCTGAACATTATAGAAAGGGATCTGGGTGAGGGGGGAGAGGGTGTTCGCTGTTCTATTGAAACCTTTCTGTGTTCGTCTGATATAACATGGAAAATCCAATATAACTGATTCCATTTTTAGGTAAATATGTTTGCTGGCAACAGGTAAGAACATCAACTCAATAATTGTAGTACACATTTTGTTGGTTTTTCCTTTTTTTAGGGGGGGGGGGTGTTGCTTTTTACAATATAAAAAATGTATTAAACACAGTTAAGTCATTTAAATGTGATCCTCTTTGCGTCCTAGTACGATGATGAAAGCGGGAAGATAGCGATGAAGAATGAGATCTTGGGAACCAAGCACAAGTCCTATGTCTGCAATAGGTAAGAGCCTAACCAATACAACACATTATATACAAGTACGTCAATTTTAGCTTGACCTATTTCCAGAGCCAGGGATTGTATTCCCACCTCAGGGTGAGACATCGAGTCTCATGTTTTCCTTCTCCAGATATTAAGGATTTTTGGGAATGTGCTCTTCTGATGTGGCAGATAATTATCATGCACCCACCCATCCCACCCCTTTTTTAATGATAGGTAACATCCAACGTTTATGTAGTGTACTGCACTTCTGGGACAGAATAACCCCTCCCCCCCCCACCCTTTTTCCTTCTTCGTTATAAAGTACGCATTTAACATGTCTTACCACTATAAAATTACTCTGCAGTCAGTTATATCTGATAGATGTAGGCAATCCACGTTTTATGCTATCAGGGCAGGGGGGGGTGATACTTTGACGGCACTAAAACTAATACAAGCATAACTTACTCACTGACCGGGAGAAAAGGAATAAAAACATAAAAAGAAAGTGACATAATTTCTGTTGATGCATCGTTTTCGATGACCGTGCCTCTTTGGTTTTTCAGTATGAGTAAAGAGAAGAGCAAAGACACGATGTCAGTCATTCATTCATTCAGTAAAAGGAGGTAAGAACAAAATGAACCGACAGAAACAACAGAGGGGAAGTAATGAACGAGGAGCTCCCGGTAGCGGAATCGAACCATCCTCACATATCATCATTTTGAAACCAGAACAACCAACTTTGTACAAACTTGGAAATTCTGTAACAGTAATTAACAAAGCTGTCACAGCTGTTCGTCTGTTCAACGGACACTCACCTCCGTTATGAATATTTTCTGTGTTACATTACTACAGCCTATAGTATCAGAATACTACCGGATACTAATACATGTATTGATTATTTATATAGCTCAAGGGAAGGGGCTTCTGGAAATATGTATGCTTTTAGACTCTCCACATACACAATGTTTCGTGTATTACATATTCACTGGAAATGTTTAGATATCTATTGGATTGTGATGAAATCATCATTCATCGACAGCCGAGATGTATATCATGTAACGGTTACCTCAGAATGGAGGACGTTGAAAAATAATTTTGAGGGCTTTTCATTTTTCAAGTAATTTCTTTGTTATTTGGTAAGATCACCAACTACAATATAAAATATTTGTTAACAGAAAACTGCATACTTCAGTTAGTTTTGTTTCGGTAGGTATTCTGTGAGCTATATCGAAAAACGTTGCAAATTTTAAGGGGGGGGGGGCGGGTATAAAAAAGCTATGCTTGTGTGATTTTGACTAAATGTTGCAATATGGTTGTAAAAGCTTCACGCACAATTTGAACCATATTAGTCTGAAAATGTCGAGGTCAAGGTATTTTTATTAATAAAATCTTACGAAATGAGACACTTTACCTAATCCTTAAAAAATTGTGAGGAAAAAGCAACATTCTCATAATATTCCTCTCGGTTGCCCAAGAATGATGAATCCATCGATTCAAATCCCTCACCATTACCTTCATTTATACTGAAGTCAGTTATGAGAGCGAACGTTGTACAAATGGTGAGTTTCAGTAGAAAGCAATAATATTGTTTATTTATATCATGAGTGTGTGTGATTTTGGGTCTGTTTGTGAGAGTAAGCATAATGTAGGCCTATGTGTTTGTGTGTGTGGAAGAGAACGATTGTGAGAGTATGTGTGACTGCTTGTGTGATAAGCGTGTGTGCGTATACGTGCACGCGTGTAAGCGTGCGGGCGGGCGTGCGTTTGTGTGTACGTGCTTGCGTCTGTATAGGTGCGTGTGTGTGTGTGTGTGTGTGTGTGTGTGTGTGTGTGTGTTTGTGTGTATGTGAGAGTATATGTGTGTGTGTGTGTGTTTGTGTGATGAAACACCAAACCAATGCCAATGTCTGGACAATAACGATTAATTAGTCTTATCTTGTCTTATATTTTCTTACCTTAATTAATTGACAGTAAGTAAATTCTCAATTTGTATTTGCATTCAAGAACAAGACATAGCGTATGCTTGAACTTTTATAGTTCTGGTTACACATATGTGCAGAACTAAGAACTATGATGTGCTACGGGTTAAAACCCTCTTTAAACATTGTGACGTTATTTAGAACATAATGGTGAACACATGCGCGTGTACAAGCCGGAAAAGGACAACTCCCTGGGTCTTGTCAAGGTCGTGTTAGTCATCTCATATAGAAACCCATCCAAGTGGTGTCTTAAAGACTCCTCCTACAATTTAATTCCAAAAACGCCACTTTTGGGGTATTCGAGCCTGGATCATCCGCACTATAACCCGCCTTGATACCAACAGAGCTAACAGCAGAGACAAAACGTAATTTTCAACAACAAAAAAAATGAAAACGAACGGTCTTATACCAATACCATCAACTGACTTACCTGCCCCCCCCCCCCTCCCATCCCACATTTCTTTTTTTTTGGGGGTGGGGGGTGGGGGGGATTCCACTTCGGCCTTTTATAAATGGAATTTGCCCCAATAAGCTGCCTAGTCTTTAAAGGTACTCACTATGATTATGACCATCTTGGGGATATTAAAGAATTATCGAGGGTTATACTATATGTTGCGGGAGTGTTCAAGTATGTAACACCGAAGACAGAAAAGGGCGAAGAACGTTTACAGCATACAAACGTCTTTACAATATTTGTTTGTCACAGTGAAGACGTCAACACAGTAACAGTCATAGATCTAGTGAAGAGGGAGAGTACCACAGACGGACAAAAATTACAGAGAGAAAGAAAAGAAGTAAGACCTACAAGAGGCGACCTCCAGCAACTCGCTTGAATTTCTATCACCCTACCCATTCTCTGTGCCTGCATGCTGTCATTGATCTTGGCTCTTTCCTTACTGTTTACCGTACAATGATGCCAGCTTGTTGGGTAACAAGATTGTGTAGGGAACACGATACTATCTGTAAAAGGTAAGTTACAGCAATACTGGTTGGCAAGCTTACAGGGATTTTCGAATTTCTTTTCATGTTATCGAGACATTTTGATTAGGGTCACGCTCTGAGTGAACTTATATTCTTAAATCCCAGACACTTGAGAGTCCTTAGAAACTGAAAATTTACATTTTTTTGTGTGCCTTTAGTCAACGGGGGCGGATTTTTTTTGTTGTTGGGGGGGGGGGGGGTATTTTTTTTAAAATAGTAAAATCCACTCTGAGATGTCATTTTAAATGGACATAAAAAGGAGTTGAGCCAAAAAACAAAATTTCTATTTTAAAAATTGCTAACCCGGCGGAAAAATGCCGGTATCATCGATTCCATGTATCTTTGTTTTTTTGTTTTTGACGAACACCTGATGTTACCACGATGCCTCGCATATAATGCTATTCATGTTACGATCAATACAGCATTAGCTGTGTCCTTAAATGACCGTCTAGACGTCTTGTTGATTGTTAATAAATGTAAATGTTTGACGTTCCTATGGACACATTTGATTCATTATTCACTAAGGACGACTGCAGCTTGACCCGACCAGCCAAGACCGAGCCACGCAGATCAGAATAGAACATCCCAGCCGACTCATGGAGATACTGGATAGAATAGATTCCTCCTGACGAAATCAAACACCCCTTTTCTTCATCTTACGGCAAAAAGTAACCATCAAAATTTTTAATTAAATCTAGGTGCTGTAAGTCCCTATAGATACAAATAAGATAATTTAGGAGGATGCCTGCTTCGACCATACCTGTCAGGAGCCAACCCAGGCTTAGGGGAAGTCAATGACCAAGGTGATGGATAAAACTATATCCACACAAAAGTCGAACTCGGGTCTTTTACTTGCTACAGCAGAACATCTACCTGCTACACCACAGACGGTACATAACCTTTACAGCACCGACGTCGGAGGGCCAGCCCTGGAATACAAAGCCCTATCAGACAGGACGTCTAGCTTTCGCAGGCAAAATTGAAGGCAAACGAAGCAGCTAGAGATAGGCCCAGAGCAACCTACTTGGAAAACCTAAACAGATGGTTAACGAGGAAAGGTCAGGGTAATGTAACTTTTTAAAGAGCATTCGAGCAAAAGAATGAATGGAGAACATAATCACCGATGTATGTGGCAGATTTGGCACTTGACGATGATGATGATGATGATGATGATGATGATGATGATGATGATGATGATGATGA